GAAAATGAGATGGCAGGCTGTTCAGTTAAAAAGGCGACGCGAAATAGCCCGAAAGGATAGGAATCTTTCTGTAGCGCATGCACATGAAAAAAGCTACGCATAGAAGAGAGGTTCATACAAATTCGTCACACTTAAGTCATAATGAAGCATACATATCCTCATCTAAAATGCAAAATAACATAACATCATTTTTCATAAATTTAGAGGCGAAAGAAAAATGTAAAAATAGAAACCACTCATATTGAAACAAAATTTCTAGTTTAGGTAAACTGGTTATAATACATTAGTTATCATACACACATATTGAGAAAAAAATTGAATTTTGGTTATAAAATGCTTATATGTATATGGGTTATTATATCTGACAACGATTTTCGAGTTTATTTTTGGTGATACGTTGTTTTGCATTTTAGGTGGCAATATATAAGTAGGGGAATAAGAAGACTACCAAAAAAATCTTTGAATATACTAACAACCTTATTGCCTAGTGGACTACAAAACAAGTCAGTTGGTAATGGATTAGAGTTCACTTTAAGCTTGTGCTGGTTACTGTTACTGAAACGGAAAGCTGCAGCAACAATTCTACGTGAAAATGTGGATAAAGCCGCTGCGTTTACATTTTTTGTAGCATTGCTCAAATTTTTTTACAGAAATGCAAAAATTAAACATGGAGAAATGGAAAACAATAAGTTTTTATCTTAAATCCAAGTAGAAAGATTAAACAGGGAAAAAAGTAAAACAATAGTTATGTATCTTAACTCCAAGTAGTCACTGCCTAACAGGAGGAGAGCGAAAATTGGCTGGCTAGTGAGAGTTAGCAGTTAAGAAAAAAACATATAACTAACTATGTCAAGTGATATAGGCAACTTTTCTCCTCTTTCTGACTTTGACAGTTCTAACTACTTATGTAGGAGTTGATAATTTTCGATAGTATACACAATTGTCTGTGGCAGGTAGAAAAAAAAAAAAATTAGCTAAAAAGCAAAACCAAAACCTCGAATATATTTTTTTTATACGAAAATATCACACATGCCATGAAATTGGTTTCATATATTTTTTGTTGCACATTCGAATTTTCCGGCTTCATTGCACCACGTCAAATTGCATATTAATGAGAAGTGCAATTAACGGAAATTCGCGTATATCGAATGTGTACAATAGCAACAAAAGCGCACAAATAGCATATCAATTACCGCAATTCGTGAGAACAATGCCAAATGAAAGACAAAAGAAAAACGCATGAATCATGTGGCAATGAAGAGAATATTTTATCAACGAAAACGGACAAATATTTACAAGCAAATACACAAATGTGTATGTGCATATGTATGTAAATATACGTATATATACATATATATAAGCTCAGTCTATGCTATATATAAAATATAGGAAGTACAAAAGCGGGTGCTTTAATGCAAATTTAATTGGAAACTAATTACAATAACACTCGTGTACAATTAATAAAATGTGGCGAATAATTTTTTGATTTATGTGCAATTGTAGAGCGACTATGCATGTGTGTATGTGCAATAGGCTTAAATTGGCATGTCAACTTTTGCAATTTGTGCAAGGATATATTCATAATCGCACTTCAAGTTTGAATGAACGAAAAGGTTTTGACAAATTTGATATTTCCGTTAATTGCTAAGCCGCTAAAAAGGCAATAAATTTTCAAACACGACTGCTGTCAAGCAGAAAAATTAATATGTAATTATGAAATTAGAAAACAATTTTACTTTGGTGCTATTATACATTTTACGTATGCATCTTGTATGATATAATATATATGAAAGAGTATTTTTTCTTGTTTTTGATCTGCCAGTTTGTATGGTAGCTATATGCTAAAACGATTCGATCGGAACAATTTCTTCAGAAAATATTACCATGCTTTACACAATAACTCATGCTGATTTTCGTGAAGATAGCTTTTCAAATAAAAAAGTTTTTCATATTAGCACTTCACTTCGATCGGTCAGTTTGTATGGCAGCTATATGATATAGTCGTCGGATCTCAGTATTATATGTGGATATTGTAGAGCTACTTTGGAAAATAGTCCATGTCAAATTTTGAGAAGATATCTTGCAATACGAAAAAGTTTACCATACACGGACTTGATATTAATGAAACAGCTTGCATTACAGCTATAGGATATAGTGGTCCGATCTGAACAATTTCTTCAGAAATTGTATCTATGCCTTAGAAAAAATTGCATGCCAAATTTCGTGAGGATATCTTTAACAATGAAAAAGTTTTTCATATGAGGACTTCATTTTGATCGGTCAGTTTGTATGGCAGCTATATGCTGTAATGGTTCGATCTAAGCAATTTCTTCAGAAAACGTAAAACTGCTTTGAAAAATAGACGACGTAAAATTTTGAGGGTATATCTTGTCAAATGAAAAAGTTTACCATACAAAGACTCGATATTAAATAATCAGCATGTATGGCAGCTATATCTTATAGTCGTCCGTTCAAAACAATTCTTTTGAGAATACAAAATTAAAAAATTTCGTAAATGTATTTTCTAAAATAAAAAAGTTTTCTATTCAAGCACAAGTATTTGATCGATCAGTTTGTATGACAGGTATATGTTATAGTGGCTCGAAATCGGCGATTCCGACAAACGAGCAGCTTCTTGGAGAGAAAAGTGTGTGTGCAAAATAGATCGATTCCTTCAGGGTGTTACACATTTCGTGAGAAACTTAAATAAACTGTGCAGAGCATAAATATAAGATATTTTTTTCTATTAATTAAATATGATTAACCAAACACACACATATATGTACATATAAAAAAAAAATACATAAAGGTTTTAACTTCAATGAAAATTATATATTATGTGATGTGGCTACCACATTTCACTTTATTGCATTCATGGAAAGCAATTTCACAGTAATAACATTAATTGAGTGTTTACCAGTGGAAGCCACTCATATCGTTAACAAGCGTAACCAACAAGGTAGTTTGTGTTATGGTAAACATATTGAAGTTATGCAAATGAGTGTAACTAGTACCTCAACTAAAATCAGAATTGCATATGCCATGATGAATCAGATATCCTTCAAATAAACAGTTATACGGTATCAGTTAATTAAACCTCGTAAGTTGCATAATATACACGTTAACGTGTTTTGCTTCATTTTCACATTACCATCTTGCACTAGCGCCCGGCAAAGCAACTACATGCATCATACAAATGCTTCGTTGCAGCAGAGAGGCACTATTAATGACCACTGAGAATCGTTACTCCCTGATAGGGGCGATAAATTTATGTAACTAACAACTCTTACAGGTGCATAGATTGCGCTTACGTGAGAGTTGAGGTAATAGTGATGAGTGAAATGTATGGATACTGTGAGGGGAGCGAAATGTTTCTAATATCGTTGAATAACATGCAACAATTCTATATGAATGTATTTAATTTGTGAGCTTTATTATTTGGAGTTCGAGGTTTTAGTTTTGTAGTTGGATTGAAAGACATATGAGTACCAAAGGAATTGAACGTCGTGGATATCTAAAAGAGTTTGCTACGCTCGAAAACATCGAACAATTTATTATTCTTGAATTAGGCTCACCGTCTCGTCATATCAATATCGACCAAGTACCATAACGAAAGAATTATTATAAACAGTGTGTGAAGTTGTTCCATTGTAATGAATTTAGTGTGCTGAAAAATCTTTTCCTTTGGGAAGCTAGTGAATCGCATGACGAATAGGAATGAACAGCATGCGACGAACTGATTCCAAAATGCTGAAAGACAAAAAAGTCTACCAAAAAAGTTGTGATGTGCATAGATAATTTGAAAAGCGAATATATTTATAGCCTTTAAGATATAATAAACTCCTCTCCAAGCAGTTTATGCTAAGGTGTTTTTGTAGAAATCATTCCTGCAGTCAACTGAGCTCAAGTTGCCGCGAGAATCGAGAGTGACCCTTGAACAGCTTTGTTCTGGATAGTGTAACAGGTTAAACTCTTACTTATCTAGAATCGACCCCGACATATTAACAAGTACCAGCATGCAACGAGACCACGAATGACTGTACATAACTACCTTTTCGTATGCCCAGCTTCTCACACCCCTATCCCTATGGTTCGACGCCGTTGAAACAGCACGTTTCCTGAGACCACTGTCGAATTATCTCGAAGACAATTTATCTGAACCCTACCATCCTAACGGGGACTAGATAACCGTTACAACAACAACAACATTATATAGCCKTGCGGGAACGTTTGGAAAAAAATCTCAGAAAGTCGGCTCTCTTTTAGGTCTTAGGATTGGTACCATAACGACATTCAGTGTGAATAAAGACGTAATTGTGGAAAAGTGCAGAAAACTGTAAGAATGATGAGCTTGCTAGAACAAATATGTCAGTCTGTGAAGAATGGATTCGGGTAAGTGCTGCGTTGGCTTCTTGTCTTCACTACCGGATGGTTGGGCTACAGAACAGCTAGTGTCATGTGTTCCTGACCAAGGTAATGAGGTCTTTGTCTTCAGCTAATTTCATCTTTCAGAACAAAGCTTAAAAGGCTCGAATTTCATACTTTACGACAAGTAGGCGAATTAGCAGAAGTAAAAGCAAAGCATGTAAGCAGATTCGTGAAAGGTTTCCGCCGCTTTTTTGGAAGCTGATATCCAACCACAGAAGTTTTTCATCTGGCTACTCGAAGTAGTGTACTTAGTCGTCTAAATGTGTTCCCTAGCCACCTAACCTAGAAGATTATTCCCAAGACTTATTTAAGGAACACATTGCAAAGGTCTTCGGAGTAAAGCTTTATAAAAAGCAGAGGTGCATTAGAAGGAAATGTCGGCACCATGAATCCAGGATGTAAAATTTTTACAAATTCAACAATTTTCTTCTGATCGCTCTCAAGTCACTAACGAATTGAAGTCAAACACGCTATATGCCCAAGGATGGACCAATTAACTAAATTATTTTAAAAAATTCCTAAAATTTTTCTAGTTTGAAACTAAAAATTTACTGTAAACTTATATCACTTACTTGTAATCTTCGGTTTCGTATGTATGGAGAGGGCAAGCCGAGTAACATTTATGTTCGTGCATAACCAAATGATGCTCACAGCTGGTGCAATAGTCAGGACGATCTTGGCACGAGGCGCAGTTAGCTTCGCATGGCACACATGTTTTGTTGTCATAATCTATGAAAAGGTAAAAATTTTCAAAATAAATTCCTTTTGATCAAAAATTTCTTCGAAATACGGAAAATTGTTATTTTTTTTTTTTTTTTGTTTATCGATATAGCAGAAAGCGGCTTTCTGGGTATGAATTAGGTGGATCAGAAGTCGAGTTCTTTCAAATAGCTAATAAAAAAAAAAATCCGGAAAGTACTAATTTTTTGAATGATATTGATTTTGAACAATTTCTCCAAAGTTTTACTTGTCTAATCCATATTAGAAAACTGCTAATAGATTTGAGGGTATCTTCCACTTACTTTCATAGTAACCATCCGGACAGACTTGCAGACACACAGCCAGATCGACGACATGCAGATGAGCTGGCGCACATGTCAGACAGCTATCCTGTCCAGCACCAGCGCACGTTTCGCAAGACTCATGACAAGGCCAGCAAACGCCGCCCTGATTGGGAAAGGAACGCGGTGGACAGCGGCTGACACAGGTGCTGTAAGACAAGCAGAAGGTATTATATTAAAATTTAACCAATATTTATATTCCACTCACTTGTCCAGCCGATAATGCTTGCAGGCAACGCATTGTGTCGGGCCACGGCCATAGCAACCCTGTGAATCACACTCGGGATCACAATCGTGCAAAACTAGCTTGTTATTCGAGTCAGCCATCACGTTCTGGCGCTGAGGTGTGGGTATATTGTGGCCATCCACCGTAGCGACCGCTTGTTCAGGATTCGAGCCAGCGCCGGTGAAGAGATTTTGGAAATTCAGATAACCAGCAAATTGATCGGCATTATAGTAGCCACCCTCGTTAGGTGGTTGACCCAAATCCGACTCGGTTGGATAGGTGTAAGGATTAATGCCGGCCGAAACGCGCATCTGTTGCTGCATCAGATCGCTCTTTAAACGCATAGGCTGCACAGCGGTGCCGTAAAAGATCAGTTGCCACTTGGAGAGTATGCCTGGCTGATTGACGTGTCGACGTCCGCCATTTATCACTTGCAGTGTCCAGCGTCCTTCGGCTTTTTCGCCCCAGAAGTGCACACTCAAGAAAGGCCAATCATCAAAGTTCGACTTGACAATGTCACGTGGTCGCTCGAACAGCAGCGTGCTGGTCGTACCCATTGGCGAAGTGAGCAGTATGCGTAGATTGCCACGCGGGAAGAAACGCAAAGTGATGCGACACTGTACATGCTCCAGATAGCGTACTTCATTGATCGTGCCCGCACAACCATTCACATCCATGTGCGTGGCCAGCGTATAGCCGTACGAACCCTCAATTTTACGATCTTCATTATTTTCACGCGACTTGCAAATATGCTGCGGCGGTACAGTTGTCCATTGCTCGGCCAAACTAACCATGGCGCCAGCATCCATCAGCCCATAACCGAACTTGTGACTGTACTTTCGCTTGACACCATTCAAAATCCAACCACTTTCCTTCTCCAACGGACTGGGACGTGAGGTATAGACTACGAGATATTGCATATCACGCCAAGTGAGATTCGGATTGGCTTCGAGTGCGAGTGCGCAGATGCCTGCAGCTAGTGGCGCAGAGGCGGAAGTGCCAGTGTGTTCGACAGTGCATATGTGATCGGGTCGCAGGCGTCCATCCATATCGACGGTGGCAACGCTTTTATCATGGCCTGGCGTGCCGGAGCTGTAAGTGGTGGCGAGTGTGGAAGAGCATTCCTCCAGGTACCAGGGTTTGTAACTGAACGATGATGGAGAAAGAGTAAAGATAAAGAGTGTTAAATTAGTGTTTACTAATAATGATGAAATATATATGAATTTATTTTCGGAAGCATCAAATATGGTATTAACTAGACTGAACCCACTTATTTATGTTAGAAGAAGTGTGCCTAACATTTGCAAGCATCGCTTCTTAACATATTGTAATTCGAAGTAGCATATTTAAATAACGCATCATTATTGCTCGGTCATTTGCTATTTCTGTCCCTCTAAACCTCGTTTTGGTGTGAAACATTATCCAAAATATTAACTGATGTAGTTTTTTCAAAAGATTCAGTCTTTAGCTCAGGACTCAGTATAACAAAGTATCGAATCCTATATCGTTTCCGAGGGTTGAAAGAGTTGAAGCTTACATCCGGCAGAATAGTATACCAGTCAAACTACCAAAGCATTTGTCTTGCCTTCCGAGAGCAATGTTCAATTAAGTAGCCAGGAGAGTCACTTTACTCATAACTCATAACTCTACACCGCAGCATACACGAGTTAGGTCTACAGAAAGGCGAATAGTCATACGCGAATGCGGAATGCCAGTAGTTTTCGAAAGTTGTGAACAGCAATGAAAATAAAATCGATTACTAATTTCAGGAGGATTACCAAGGCTAAGCCTAAAGTAATTCAGGAATAGGCGTTTGCTTACCAGGTGAGTAGTTGAGGCCTTCACATATAATTTTTAAAAACTAGGAAAAAGTCTTCCCTTTGTTGGTTATACTAAATGGATATGGTCTTAATTGATGTCCTGAGCTAGTTTAAAATCCTTTCAAGGCTTGTTTATGCCAAAGAAATAAAGAAAACCATTTATTTACAGTAAATTTACGTAGTCAATATTTAATTCAACCCCACGGTATGTAAAACACTTTCGCCTTCGCGCGGTGCATCGTGGATAACACTAAATGACCTGCGGCCCTTACTGCCTCTAGACTTATATGGACTTTTAATCTTTTCCCTGACACGGACTTTACTGAGATCTATTAGACAGATTGGTTTAAGCCTTTATCTGGTAGTCGATCTATTCGGTCACCTGAGTACACAGTGGTGACACCGGAAGGAAGAACTGATAGGTTCAAAACAAGGCTGTCTCCGTCCCATGACAATGACAGGTCACGCAGTAACTTCGTTTCCAGTCATCATTAAGTTAGTGTGGTAGATGAAAGTCGATAACCCCTTCTTTCCGCTGGTCTGGTAAAATAACTTTGAGAAAATAAAAGGTGACTTCTTTTCCGGGAGGTAAATGTCATTCTGAACGGGGACATTTAAAAACATAAATTAATATAATGTCTTTCATAAAGTCGAGCTAGAATGATATTTAGAAGCGACCATTGCGAAATTAGACAGTCGCTTCGATGAAAAACCTATCACCCAAGGTTTAAAAAAGAGTGAAGGTAGAAGCGTAGAAGCATGACTTATCGTCGAGAGGGGCGGTAAGTTAGTAGGAGTCGATAGAAATCTGTCGACAGAAACCAAAGGTAAGGCAAACTGCGAAGCGGAAATACCATTACTGTTAGAAGATCCCCTGCTGTATTGATGGAAAGCAAGAGGCTATCAGCGAACGCTAAGAGCCCCGAGAAGTAGCATGTATCACCACCTAAAAAATATCGTATAGGAGTATTTACGAGCTCACTCATAATGAAAGGCTATAAATCCATTCGGACGTATAACAGTAAAATTGTATGGAGGAAAAGTAAGTGGAAACATGCTGATAGTTCCAGTTTTTCAGGATTTGGAGCTGAAAAATCTCGGCAGTTATATCTTCAGCGAACCAGGTGACACAGCCGGAACTGAAATTAGATATCTCAAAAAATTTGAGATCTGCTCAAAGCACTTGGTCGATTTAAGAGGGTCTTCATAAACAATTTTATAGTATGTCTAGGTACCAAAACGGACCGCTATTATAAACTCTCAAAGGGAGATCCCTATTAGGATTGAATATTTTACCTAACCTATTCTCTCAGAATAATTATTTTTGAGTGGGGCTGAGAGCGGCAATATTAGTTAGAAATTTAAATTATATCGGACCAAAACTATCAAGTGCCCTGGATCAAAGCTCCAATTCCAAACTTTCTGTCGAAAATCTTAGTCCATATGTGAGATATACAATTGAAATTTGGTAAAAATCCTTTCCTGATAATAGTTTCTCTTAATATAAAGATTTTCGAGCCTCCAGGCGACTTTATATAGACCAATAATTTGTTTAATTTAATAAAATTGAATGAGCGTGTTTTTCAAATAACAAATAATTAAAATCGGGTGAAAACTCGCCGTGGACTCCATTTAACTAGCAAGCATTACGTACTTGAAGCTACTATCCCGGCTTTAGCTCTTGCAAGTTGCAAAAGTATGAAATAATTGGTTATACCCGTTCTCAGCCCTTCACTACATGTTTATTTTACAGCCGTTATGTGCAATTAAGGCGGAAGTGAAAAAATATACCGTTAAGCTCTTAATTGCCAATTAACAAGCACGCCTACAAAAATATCGCAATATGAGTTTATCGCACTTACTTTTACGCAATTTTAGCTATATTATACAATATCATTTCATATTATGTAATATATTTATTATTATTAATGATATGGTTGCGGTTACAAACACACAGACATACACGCACACACTTGTGCTTGTTGCAATTTTCATTTTAAAATGCCATAAAGCCTCTCATTAATTGCCAATTAAAAATGAAGCTAACACAGTGATGTAAGCTACATGCTTAAATGCGCCTAAAAGTAGGCCAGCACACACACATAGGCACACTAATTTAGTGTCGCTGCGGACTGGCAGCGCTTAAGCGAAAATTTCAACCTCAAAACCAATCATTTTAAATGAGTACAAATGTGAAATAAGCGCAAATATTGAATAAATATGCAAATTGGTTTCATTAAAAAAAGTGAAATAATAACGTGGAGGTAAATGAATGATATTAGCAATAGTTATGCGCCACCTCAGCGCGCTTGAGTGGAAATTTCAAACTTCCATTTAAATCATTTGGTGCAAAATTTCCTGCGCAAAATACGCAAATACTTTTGAACAATTTCCATAAATTGCAAGTGTGCGTTAAAAAAGTTTGAATATATATATWTTTTGATACATATAAACAGTTAATTTGCACTGCTTTGTTCGTTTTTTGGTTTCGAAATTTCACTCTTCTAACCACCCACAATTGGGCGCTGCAAATAGCAATTTTCATTTTGGCCATAATTGATTTTAGTTGCATATATGGTTGATTGCTCGAAAGCAACAACAACTTCAATGCCAATAACAACATTATTCGCATATTTTTAGTCGAAAATAAATAAATTGTTTAATTGTAAAGTGTGGCGTTTTAATATTTTACTATTTACTGCGGTTCAAGCACCACATATTGCCCACAAATAAATCCATACAGTTGTATATATGTACTTAAAGTTGCGGTAAACATACATGCGACGAGTGATGATTGTAATCGGTCATGCCAATAATTCCAATATTCTGGTTTGTATTTATGCAGTTTTACAACGAAATGAAAATTAAACAGTCTTTGTCACAATTTTATGTAATAAACATTTTGTGATCAACAAGAGAGAGTAGAAAGAAAAAAATGCACATTACATGCATTTAAAGAAAATTGCTTTTTTTTAATATTTTTCGTACCAAAAATTGAAGTTTGGTAGAATTGGAAAGTATGCAAGCATCAGAAATGAAATTCTGAAATTAGCTCCCAGTATCCCTCATTGTTTGTCTCAATTAAACTYTCAATCTCAATCTCAATCATAATCACAACCACAATATCATTCTTATTATCAACGTCAATCTTAATCTCAATCCCAATCTCCGTCGCAATTCGAATCTCAATCCAAATCACAATCTCAATATCAATTTCAATCTCAATGTCAATGACAATATCTATATCAATCTCATTCTAAATCTCAATCTCAACCTCAATCTTAATTTGAAGTTTAGTCTCAAATTCAATCATAATATCAATTTGAATCTCAATCTTAAGTTCAATCTAATTCTCAATCTCAATTTCAATCCCCATTTCAATTTCTATCTCAACCTTAATCTCAATCTTAATCTTAATTTAAATATCAACATCAAACTCTAAATCAACTTCAAACTCAATCTCAAACTCGATCTCAATCTCAATTCCAATTTCAATGTACATCTCAATTTCAGTTTCTATCTCTATCTCAATTGAAGTCTCAGTCTCAATCTTAATCTCAATCTCAACCTCAATCTTAATTTCCATCTCAATATCAATTTTAATCTCAATCTCGATCTCATCTCAGCCTCAATCTTCATCTTAATCTCAATTTCAACCTTAATCTCAATCACAATATTAATCTCAATCTCAATTACAATACTAATCTCAATCTCAATCCCAATCTCAATATCATTCTAAAGCTCAATGTCAATTTCAATTTCAATTTTAATCTCAACCTCATCCTCAATCTCAGTGTCAATGTCAATCTCAACTAAAATCTCAGTTTCAATCTCTATCTCAATTGAAGTCTCAGTCTCAATTTTCATCTCAATCTCAACCTCAATCTTAATTTCCATCTCAATCAATTTTATTCTCAATCTCTATAATTCCAAACCCATTATTAATCTGAATCTCGATTTCAATCGCTATCTCCTGCTTTGTTTCTGTCTCCACATTCGTCAATTTTTGCAGTCTCCTCACTTTTATGGTACTATCACCGATAACTCGCTTATTTACATGTTGACCTTTTAATATTCACCAACTTGCAGTTAACTCACAAGCTCCGTAGTATTCTCAACACATCACCCTCATATATAAATACTAATTTTAACAAACTTACCCGCCTTGTGTTGCACTCGAAATGGACAGTGTGAAAATGGAATTCGTATAGCCATCACAATTGCACGAATCCGTGTAGCGACCACCATTGCCCGACGCCCAAACGAATATGGAACCTTTGCCTTGTCGCCCACTGGTGACGCCATAGATGAAAGCGCGCCGCGCCAACGGCCCAGGTCCGTCAACAGTTGAGCCGTCGTCCTCGGGACCCCAAGAGGCGCTGTAGATGTCAATATGTGATGGATTTAAACTCAATGCCTGCGCCTCGACCACATCATTCACTTTGCCATCCAACATGCGGACGCCTGCAAAAGTGAGAGAGCAAAATGAAATCAAATAAAATTGTAAATGCCAACGGAAGGGACGTGGATTTATAAAGAAGATATGGGCAAATAGATGGTGGTGGAAGTTGAGTTAAATGACACGGTTACATAAATAATATTCGCTCGGTCAGGCAAGTAACTAATGCATTTTAGTGTTGAAATGGACCAACGCTAAAGTGTTCACATGGACTCTATTTTAGGTCAAAACTAATGTAGTTTGCCTATAGATGCATCTAACACCTTTAGTTTAATTTCGGCGCTAATAGATGACATTGCGGCAATAACATAATGGTTTTGACTGAGCACTGATATTTCATCAATATAATCAGCTTCCATGACAGAAATCAGTTTTGCTATATAAAAAGTACTTGATTTACTTACCGCCAATACTCGAATTATATGCCACGCCTACACCGCAATAGTTGTTAAATGCAACCGCCGCCACTTCACCTGCACATCTGGTGCCGTGTTTGTTGTCACCGTTATCTTGTGGTGTGGGATCCGAATCGTTACCGTTAATATCGAAAGATGCATCAGGGTCCTGAAAATATAAAAAAGGTTCTAGTTTAGATTCGTTTACATATTTTAGTTCACATTTCATATCAATATTGTATATAATGCAATACTGTACCACGAATGCTTAAGATTATATTTAGACTAGACTTTCTGCCTTTTAGATGGTGTGTGTAGTTCAAAAGGTAAATATAGCTGTACTTCACAAAATCCTTAGAGAGTGCATGACAAATAAAGTAAACAGTTAATAATAGGTCCGATTTAAGCCAAGCTATGCTCCATAGCTTACTGCTACTCTGGAAATTGAGTGATCAACAAGATCCCTATAGGCAAAAAAGTGATACGGCGACTTTTTACCACTAAAATCATATATTGTAAACCAGATCAGCTGGTAATAACTTGGTGCCAGATAACGACTGTAAAGTGTATTCAGGGGAATTTCTCAACTCAGCCCTCTGAGATACTGACGAGTCTCTATGGATGAGTGTGGCTTATCTATAGTAATGATGGAATACATTTTTTCCAAAATTGGCCAAAGCGGTTCCAACTGTTGACAGTAAAGATCCGAATTAATAGTTCGGTCGTAAGGCAATAGCTCATACGTAGAAGATGACTCCTTGCCAAGCTCACTCAACACATCGTTATTTTTGGCCTCTTCACTGAGATTTGATCATGATCTTTCTCGTTTGAACTTGTTGGAAGTGATCTGCTTTTCATCACTAAAAACCATCCGCATCAACTTTTTAATTTTTTATTATTGAGCTACTCCCAAATGGAAATTCGTATGATCAGGTTTTCTTGCGTTAATTCATGTAGGACTCAAACGGGAAAGTCGTTTTTGAATCACTAAATCTAAGTATGGGGTTGTACAATAAGAGTGATACGATTTCTTTTCAAAAAGAAGCACATTAATTGTTAAGGAAATTCAAATGTTTTTTTTTTTTTTTATTTAGTGTGAGCATAATCAATACAATTAAGTTCTGAATATAACGTCACTTAAATGACCCACACGACTTTTTTGCAGAACCGAATCCGATGAACCAAATTTTCGAGTACTTTTTCCACTAAATAAAGTCGAATGTCATGAAAAGCAAGTTAGTATTGACTTCTAAGGATTGAAGAGAGTCTGGATTATTGCTAAAGACCAATGACTTCAAATGACCCAACAAGAAATAGTCTAATGGTGTTAAATCAAAAAATTTTAGAGGCCGTTCAATGTCACAATTTCTTGAAGCAATCGAATTTTCAAACATTTCTCGCAATAATGCGATTGTTGCACGGGCTGTGTGGCACGTAGTTCCGGCTTGTTGGAACCAGTTGTTTTCCAGATCAACTTCTTTCAGTTGCGGTCATAAAAAGTTGGTTATCATCGATTTATACCGCTCTCCATTGATAGTAACAGTGTCACCGGCTTTATTTTGAAAGAAATGCGGACCGATGCTGCCACCAGATCAAAAACCAAACTGTCAATTTAGGAGGTTGTAATGTTTGTACATAAATAATTTGTGGATTCTCTTCGCACCAGAATAGTTTTGTTTATTTACCGTATCAGTCAGATAAAAGAGAGCCTCCTTGGAGAAGATTATTATGTTACATTGCTAGATATTGGAGAACGATTATTTCGATAATAAAATTTAAATGTCGCTATCTCCGTACGTTGTAACAGTTGCCTTTTGAACCTCCTGATTAGCTATGCAAGTAAGGAGGCAATGCAAGGGTTGACAAAATTTTTTTTTCGATCTCATGATCAGAGCCAGTTTCCGGCACAAATCAGGAGTTCGGCTCCGCTTAACCTGTACGGCAAAAAAATTATGGCGACATGCATTGAACGTACTTGAAGACCTGCCAGAGCTCTAGCGATACGAAGGTGAGAACAGTATAAACCTGACAATCATTTCGGTAAGAAGACACTCTTCATTATTAGCCCTTTGTCAAAAATAATACGTTCCGGGTTTCCAGTATTCCATAAAAAGTATCTTACGATTCTGATGGGCACTTGCCTAGCGTTTTCGTCGAGGTCTGTGCACTTTTGGTGCTATTCGCTTTATTGTTTTTGCGTAGCTTTTTTGCCTCCCTTGGTGCAACCGTGGTGGGATGGGGTTGACATCTTCGGCATCTTTTCGCCTCTTCGTCGCAGTATCATTGGACGCGTAGCCCTGCTCTAATGTAACTCCTGGTCCACAACTAACATACTTAGCATAGGCCGTCCAGTATCCACCAGCTGTGTCCCTGGTAGTAGTCTGACTTTGGAAATCCTGTCATGCCTATTGGAAAACCCGATTTTATTTGTTTATCTACGTGCTGATTTAGATTGTCTCATTTAAGAAAATATATGCATAAAATCGATGATAATTAAGCTCTTTAATATCTTGTTAAGAATAAATATATATATAACTTTGAAGCTTCAGAACCCATAGAAATGATTTTATGGGAAGAAAGGATTGCAGATGTTTGTGAATATGTTACTAAATCCCTTTCGAGTGGATCTTTTTATAAACTTACGAAAGTTAACTCTATACAATCTAGCGTTATTGTAATATCTCTGGCTCAAACAACTTTATCTGACATTTTATTTATATGTACTAATAATCATTAAACGTATTTACTAGTTAAATAGAAACCTTTGGCAATCAGTTATGACTTACGAGAGTTATGTTGTCACGAAAAAGTACGCGTATGAATTTTTAGAGATTCTTTATTCCGCGGTACTTTGGGAAAGGCATGTTAGCCGCGAGTAGTTACTCCTGCCTGCCTTAAATGCAGCAATAATACGTGCCTTTTAAGTTGAGACGTATCTGAAACCTTTCACATTTCTGTTTCAAAAATAATTTGAAAGAAACTTATTGTAAGTTGTTATAAAGAAAAGGTTTTATACCTTTTTTTAACCAAGCGAGCATCTATATATTCAGAACGCTGTCTATACGCTGCCTAGACAGATAACAACACGCGTATGAGTGACTATGAAAAGGCAAACAAAAATAAAATGGAATTGATACTAGCACTCACACATGACACACACAACCTCTGAACTATAATCGATTGTTTGGGTTTTAAAATAAAAAGCTCCGGGAGGATGCCGATCTAAGTGTCAGGCGTGGTGGATGTGTGTAGAGCTGGCGTGGGCACCCACACCTCCTCATTATTTGTGCTCAGCTGTAAATATGTTTTTAACGTTGGCGCTAAAATTTATTTACGAAATCATTTGGGAAATCAACGAAATGAATTTCCTCGCCGCTTTCAATACAGCGCAATGCCATTTGTTTCAACGGCAACCTGAGTATGTTTGTGTGTGTGTGTGTGGGTGGCTGTGTTTACTGTTACCTTTCTGTGCGCCATTTCATAATATTTACTATTTTGAGGAATTTTTTTGCCATGCTCCGCCATATTTCCTTTGTCATTTTTGTTATTCCAGATAGGAATTTTGTGCGCGCGCATGACTATTACGCTGCGCTTTTAACGTTTTATATATACGAGTACATACAGGTGTAGTGTTTGAGTGTATGGGTGTTTGCCGTGAAACGTATATTACGGTTATTGCCGCTGGCGGTTTGGCAATAATTTTGAAAACAATCAACTCTTGAATTGTGTGGGTCATTTATATTGTGGCAGTAAGCAAAGGTGAGGCTTATGTTAAAAAAAAAAAAAAGATGAAAAAAAGGATGGAAAGGAAGAGCAGCAGCAACTAAAATTTAATCATGAGAGTGTGTTGGTGTAGTGGCAAAATGGCGCAGAGGTGCAGAGCACAGCTGCAACACTTTGCAATCCCACACTTAATCATCTTTACATTTCGCTCTTTAAATGATTGCTTTTTATAATGATTTCAGACACTTTGGGATTTGCGAATTTTACTTTTCTATTTTGTTGAAACAATAGACGATTTCAGTTGTTGTGAAATTACAATTTCAATTTTATGAAAATAGTTAATGAATTGAACATGGAATGTGTTTTGAAATTTCTCTACTGCAAGGGAAACCTATTTTTATGTTTGTTACATTGCTTTTACATAAATAAAACACACAATGAGTATGCCACCTCAGAGAGAAGAGCAGAGTTGTATATTGTAGTAAGTTCGGTTCAAAGACTCTTTATATGAGGAAAGCTATTAACAGAAAATCAGCAATATGATTCATATTTCATATTACACTGAACTCTCCTGAGCTTATCAGCTGTCGCAGAAGAATTGGGAACAGTAAGAAAGAATCGCTAAGATGTACAGCAAGTAGCTCAATCAGCAACATTTGAAGTAGTATAATGTCACTGTGACACAACTTGACTCCCTTAAATCGAAAATTATATTCAAAATTAAGTCGAAACGAAGAGCGTTGTACGATTTCGCAAGCAAATAGACTTATCCATATCTACATATGCTTATGTAAATATTATTTTCTGCTTCGGTGTTATTAATATATATAATCTCAGTAAGACGACATCATATCAAATAATTTATGCTTGTCTTTCTACAGTACATAAAGTGCATTCGGCGATTTTTACGATGAGTGAAATTATTTAACAAAGAAGTTTTGTTTACGGAATTAAATTTTTGTTGCTGAAACTTTCAGAATGTTGAAAAAGACATTCGGTGATAATTGTTTGCTGTGAGCAAAAGAGGGCCGAGAGGCCGAGTTGACTACGTACCGCGTCTAGGACGATCATCAAAATCAACTGATGATCAACACGTCAGTAAAATATATGAATTTGTGTTTGAGATCTGATGACTAATAGTCAGAGTCCTTACCTATATCAGTGCAAACCATGTTCAAAGATTGTTTGAAACTAAGAAATGTGAAAACACGATTGGTTCCAAAATCACAAAATTTTTTCCTAAAAACAGCGTCTCGATAACGTCTATGAAACAATGATTTCGGAGTACCATGATGTCATATACTGTGCCAAGTAAGCAGGACTTAAAAAAAATCAGAACCAATGGTTTTTTCGGCAAAATCAATATATTTTATTCAAAAAATAGTCCATAAGTCTCCGTCTGCGTCAATACAGCTTTTTGCACCGTCCAGAAGCATGTTGATCGGC